TGTTGTCAAGGTAATATTGACTTCTGCCCAAAATCCTCCGAGAGGTTAGTGGATTTCTTTGTGCTTAAAGCATTTTATAAAGCGTAAATCGCACATTGTAACCTTTGCAAAGAAACAAAAATTGTATTGTATTGTATATGGCGTTGTTGACTTGAATTACTATGGTTGTAAAGGTGTTTTTGTTGTTGGACTTGTTAAGAGCCACCAAAGCTCGAGTCTTACTGAGTTTTGCTTCCCGGGAGTCCGGGGGAAAAAAATATGCTGTCCAAATATGGGCGGGAATTATAAAGGAAGAAAAGTTTTCCCCTGGGAGATAAACGGGAACAAAATGTTCCCAGTTAGGTCAAGTGGCCCCTCCCTCCCTGCCTACACCCATGCAAAGCCAGACGTTCACACATCGGGGCCAGGAGCTAGGACTCGACCCATGCAACCTCAACTAGGTGAGTATACACACAAGTGGCTTCTGGAGTTTAACCTCAACAAGTGTAAAGTTGGGAAGTTTCGGAAAGGACAAAGAAGACCGCAGACGGAGTACAGGCTAAACGGGGATGGGGGAAAGGTTGCAAACCTCACTCAAGGAGAAGAACCTTCGGATAAGTATTGTACCGATCATATCGCTTGCCTGAGGCGCACAGTTACTTTAATATGTTTATTATGCACCCCATACCCATCCTGTGGGCGGTAGTCAAAAGATTAAAGAGGTACATAATGGGTCCAGGGACTGGACTCCAAAGTTTTGATAGCTGAGCAAGTTACAAAGGTAATGAACTCCAGGTAGATCTCGTCACAATCATGACAAAGTTACAAATGTTTTTACAGATTACAGAGGTACATAATGGGTCCAGGGACTGGGCCCCAACGTTTTGAAAGGTAATGAACTCACAAGTTACAAGGATAATGATTCATGTAAGTAAGTAAATTCACTTACTTACGTTTATACATGGCTACAATCATGAACAAATTATAGAGTAATGAGCAATTCACACGTCCAAACCTGGTCTGAGGCACACATCAACCACATAACGGCTGCAGCAATTATACGTATACATGGAGAGATAAACACAAATGCAGTATAATGTGATCCTTTATTGACTACGTTTCGCCCACACAGTGGGCTTTTTCAAGTCACAAACAGAACTGTTTGTGACTTGAAAAAGCCCACTGTGTGGGCGAAACGTAGTCAATAAAGGATCACATTATACTGCATTTGTGTTTATATTGCCATTGTGTCGGTATTTTATACCATTTATTTCCATACATGGAGAGAGTTCTGGGGGCCAATGCCCCCGCGGCCCGGTCTGCGACCAGGCTTTATGGTGGATCAGGGCCTGATCAACCAGGATCTTACTGCTGGCCGCACGTAATCCAATGTACGAACCACAACCCAGCTGGTCAGGTACTGACTTTAGGTGCCTGTCCAGTGCCTGCTTGAAGACTGCCAGGGGTCTATTGGTAATCTCCCTTATTTATGCTGGGAGGCAGTTGAACAGTCTTGGGCCCCTAAACACTTATTGTGGTGTCTCTTATCGTGCTAGTGACACCCCTGCTTTTCATTGGTGAAATGTTGCACCGTCTGCCGAATCTTTTGTGTCGTAGGGAGTCATTTTCGTGTGCAAGTTTGGTACTAGTCCCTCTAGGATTTTCCGGGTGTATATAATCACGTATCTCTCCCTCTTGCGTTCTAGGGAGTACAGGATTAGGAACATCAAGCATTCCCAGTAACTGAGGTGGTTTATCTCGTTATGCGCGCCGTGAAGGTTCTCTGTACATTTTCTAGGTCAGCAATTTCACCTGTCTTGAAAGGTGCTGTTAGTGTGCAGCAATATTCCAGCTAGATAGAACAAGCGACCTGAAGAGTGTCATCATGGCTTGGCATCCCTAGTTTTGAAGGTTCTCATTATCCATCCTGTCATTTTACGAGCAGATGCGAGTGATACAATGTTATGGTCCTTGAAGGTGAGATCCATGACATGATCACTCCCAGGTAGTATTTGACATTAGTTTTTCGCTCTATTGTGTGGTTGGAATTTGTTTTATACTCCGATGAAATTTTAATTTCCTCGCGTTTTCCATATCGGAGTAATTGAAATTTCTCATCACTGAAGTTCTTATTGTTTTCTGTAGCCCATTTAAAGATTTGGTTGATGTCCGCATGGAGTCTTGCAGTGTCTTCAGTGGAAGACACTGTCATGCAGATTCGGGTGTCATCTGCACAGGAAGATACGGCACTGTGGCTTATATCCCTGTCTATGTCCGGTATGAGGATGAGAAACAAGATAGGACGAGTACTGTGCCTTATGGAACAGAGCTTTTCACCGTAGCCGCCACAGACTTTACTCTGTTGACTACTACTCTTTAGTAATTTAAGCATACAAACAGGAAATTATAGATCCATCTACCGACTTTTCCTGTTATTCCTTTATCACGCATTTTGTGTGCTATTGCACCATGGTCACACTTGTCAAAGGCTTTTGTAAAGTCTGTGTACGTTACATCTGCATTCTGTCTTCTAGAGCATCCAGGACCTTGTCGTAGTGGTCCAGTAGTTGAGACAAACAGGAGCGATCTGCTCTCAACCCATGCTGCCCTGGGTTGTGTAACTGATGGGTATCTAGATGGGTGGTGATCTCGCTTCTTAGAACCTTTTCAAATATTTTTATCATATAGGACGTTAGCGCTATCGGTCTGTAGGTCTCTGCTATTGCTTTACTGCCCCCTTTGTAAAGCATACCTCAAGTGCCACATAGTTAATTTGTTCTAGACATAGGGTAGGATCCATGTTGTTTAGTCTGTCTTCTCAGTTTATATCATTTTACACTTGGTTTACTTGGTCTCACCTTATATTTTTGTTACTGAAGTTGAATTTGGTGAAGGCTCCCTCGTGACTGATCATTTTGTCGGTTTGGGGCTCCCCACATACATGTCTAGACCTCTACTGAGTTATGACCTGAGTAAATCTAAGACTGGCTTTTCATACATCTAAGAAATGAATCACAGCGCTGTATGACCTTTGTGGGTTTAGTGTTAGTTTTGATAATAATAATAATAATAATAATAATAATAATAATAATAATAACAATAATATGAAATGAGTCGTTATACAAATGCAAATTTATATCATTTCAATATGACTCATTGTTTGTACAGAAATGGGTGACACTTTGGTGTTTAAAGCTCATTGTTTTGCAGAACATTTCGGGTAAGCTTAAGCTTAACTTAAGACTACAATGGGAATAAATGTTATTTGCTTATATATAAGGATATTGAAGGTATACAAACATAAATTTAGACATTACAAATAGTACAAACAAGTAGACAATCATTTCTTTAAAGGTGGATTATGACTGCAAGTAATAAGAATAAAAATATTGATAGTTATTAACATATATGTAATAGAGTGAATAATGATTAGCATATTTAAGACATTTACGACATTGTGTACCGTGTACGTTAGGCCCACACTGGAGTATGCAGAACCAGTATGGCACTCATACATGGTCAAGCATGTCAAGAAATTGGAGAGAGTGCAGAGGTGTGTATGAGACTAGTCCAGGAGCTAAGGGGCATGTTCTATGAGAAGAGGTTAAGGGAACTCAGCCTGGTGTCACTGAAGAACAGAAGGACTAGGTATGATATGATAACATTGTACAAAATACTAAGTGGAACTTATAGGGTGAACAGGGACTGAGTGTTCTAGACTTAGGAAATAGGAACACGAGAGCACAGCTGGAAATTGAAGACTCGGATGAGCTGCAGAGACGTTAGGAATTATTGCTTCAGTCTTAGATTAGTCAAGAAATGGAACGACCTGGAGAATGAGGGAATAGGCAGTATCCACATATAACTTTAAGAAGTACGATAAGGCTCTCGGAGCCAAAAGTGAACCTAGTAGTAGCTAGCGAAGAGGCAGGGTCAGGAACTGAGAATCGACCCCTGCAACTACATATAGGTGAACACAAAGACCCCAATGGTAATTATATAATTATGTATTTATCTAATAATGTATGTTCAAATGTACCTATATCAACATAGAGTAAGAATTAGTATTAGTCTGCCCGAAATGCCTGGGATGCAAGTGGCCTTCTTTGTAATTTATATTTTATAACATGTAAACCCCACATTGTAAGCTTCATAAGGAAAACATTTTGATTTTGATTTTTTTTTATTTTGAAGTCATTTCGTCTGACTTTTTGGATTACCCTAGGTAATCTACACATGTGCTGCTATGTATGATAATTTATATAACTGTATTTATGTGTACCTGTACCTGAATAAACTTACACACACACACATGATAACGACATAAAATACTGAGAGGAATCAATAAGATGAACAGAGACATGATATTCCAGATACGACACAGCAACAAGGGATCACAATTGCAAGTTGTAGACTCAGATGAGTTACACGGATGTTAGGACTGCTGTCAAGAAGTGGAACAGTCTGAAGAGTGAGGTAGTGGAGGCAGATACCATACATAGCTTCAAGAAGAGGTACGATAAAGCTCACGGAGCAATGAGAGAGTGGACCTAGTGGCGACCAGTAAAGAGGCAGGGCTAGGAGTTAGAAATCGACCCCTGCAACCACAATTAGGTGAGTACACAGGATCGGGGATTAAAGGCTGAAAAGTTGACTCAAAAAGGCCCTCAGGCCATGAGTATTATTATTATTATAATCAAGGGGAAGCGCTAAACCTGGAGGATTATACAGCGCCTGGGGGGATGTGGAAGGCATTCAGGCTTAATTCGGGGAACTGGAACACAGATCCAATTCCCTAAATCAAGAGCCCGTCACCAACATCAAGGAACCTTCCTTGAGGGGCATGAGTAAGTCTTAGAGTAAACAGGATGTTAATATTATTTGTTATTGTTATTACTATTATTATTGTCATTATTAATTATTAAATTATGTATGATAATTGTACTTACGTATGCCTGCACCTAAATAAACTTACTTATTTGCTATACGTAATTCAAGAGTGAACATGTTTAGGTATCCTGGACGGTCGTGTTGTTAAGGTTCTCGCTCAGCCCTTCAACCCAACAACAACATGGAGCCACTTTTGGCTTAGTTTAGCATTGCATCAGTAAGACATTGTTGCTGATGCGATGAGTGGCCAGCCGTGGAATACCCCAATATGGGGCAGCAGAAAGAACTCGCCGAGAGTCCCAGCTTCCAAGCAGCTGTACCCCAGACACCTAGACTGGAGTAGTGTGGGGCCAGGCGTGGAGGTCACCCACACAGTTAATAATGCTGCTCTCTCTAGTTCTCAGGGTAATATTTTCGTCCTGTGTTGTAGCTTAACAGTGGCAGTTTTCTTCTTTGTCTTTCAGGTACTACTTGTAGTGCGACAGCGAGATCAGAAGATGAGGCAGGTGGAATGCGTTGGTGTGTTGGGATGTTTTAAAAGTCGCTTGATAAATGAGACTGGTGCGACACTTAAGTATATTTTAATTTTTAAAAGGGTGGACGGGTAAGCTAGCTGAAGGCCTCGGTCAGGTGACCAAAAGCTCCAGTGGTGGGTTAATATATAACTCAGGCCGATGTCAGGAAGCACTTGTTCTGTTTCTTGACAAATCTTACTTAACCTAACCAAGGTATCTTTATTCTAAAGACATTTCACAACCAGTGGCTTTATTAATTGCGTATTGAATTGATAAAGCCATTGGTTGTGAAGGTTTTAAAAATAAAAACTCCCAGGTGTTGCAGAGGTATCCGATTTATCAACTTGGTATTGTACACTATTAATTTCAGGATATTTAAAGTTGTTGATACTATCATGGTGAATCGGGAAGTAGTGCCCACTGCTTTTGTCACAGGGCTAGTAATGTAGAATAACTTAAGTAGGTCAATCAGTGTGGTTCATTTCCATTAAGTAAGTTTATTTAGGCGCAGGTACACACAAGTACAATTATCATACATAGTGTAAATTACCTAGGATAACCTCCAAAAAGTCAGGCAAAGTGACTTACTTCCAATGGAGTTCTTTGGTCCTCTTTCCCAGGATGTAACCCACAACATCAGGCCTGGTCACAGACCGGGCCGCGGGGGCGTTGACCCCCGGAACTCTCTCCAGGTAAACTCCAGGTAAACAACAATCAACTTACAAGAATGTTAATTACCCCCCCTCAAAGAAAGTGCCTTGATGCTGGTAAGAGGCTCTTAACCCGGGAAATGGACTTACCCCCCCTTTCCCTTGGACAGAGTCTGATTTGACCCCCATTCCCTATGCATTAAAATTGAGGTTTGTGCCCCCCTTGATAGTAATGGTTATAATTGACAAAATTTTTCAGGGTCCAAGTGGGACCTTCATGAACAAATGTCCAAAATTTATGTGCTTTTGTGGGAAAAACTATGTATCTGGTGGAAATTGCTTTTTCGAATCATCTAAACACAATAAAACAGGGGCCCCCACCTTCGATATTAATCCGTTCCCGGAGTCATATAAGCCGAATTATCGTTAGTCGAATTTTTTCCCATAAGAAATAAGGGAAAATCAAATTAATCCTTTCCCTGACCCCCCAAAGTATGAAAAAAATTTTTTTTCCCCAATGAAAATATTAATTTTAATACACACAAATGAAGAAGCAGGGTTTTTTTTCCAAAATTATTTGAAGATCTGGTGAGATTAATGGGAGGGGAGGGGGGAGAGTGTGGGAGTTTTGTTTAGAAGGGGGGACCCCCTTCCATTAGGACTTGAGGTAGCAGCCCTTTTTCCCAGGGTTTTTCCCTTCTTCTTTTAATGCCACTAGGACCACCTTGAGAGTCATGGCCTCTGTGCAAAAAAAATCTGCCCGAGCGCTGTACCCTGTTCCTTTAAGTTTTCCCTAAAATGGGCCAAAATTGTATTGTATAGGTTCCAAACGGTTTTCGTAGCTGTGTAGGGGATTTTCATCCGTTAAAGGTTGCAGTTAACCCCTTTGCACACATTCCTTAATCTTTGAAGTAAACAACTTCCCCAATTTTTTCTCTCCCTCCTCGAAGCAGTTTCCCCAGGTCGGGGCCCCTTGCGTTGAAAAGATCTTGAGCTCATCGTTCTTTATTGTACTACCAAATCTTCAATCCTCCCCACTAACCTTCAACCCCAAGGGTTCCCCAAAGCCACAAAGGATTCACAAATGGATACCTTTCAGGGTTAGCCCAAAACCCCCAAAATCCTTTTTTTAAAACAAAGTGGCCAGTTTCTTCCCAAACGGTTCAAGGTCCCCTTAGTCACTCCTTCCCAAGCCTTCCATAAGGTTTCAAACGAGGATACTAAGTGTCTTTTCCCAAAAATCTCTTTTAGTCAACGGTGTTGGGTCCTTCAAAAATTTTTAAACATAGCTTTGTGTAGGTTTTTTGAAGTTTTTTAAATGACCTGGGTCCCCGGGGGGCGGGGAGGAGTGGTATTGGAGGCAAAAGCTTTACCTTATGAAGTCATGTCCCCCGAAAGTGCTTGCCCAAATCTGAAGGATGACAGGAGCGTTGTTTAATACGGAGGCATTTAAGGAATTTCTTTTCCATTAGGTAATTTTTCACCCGTTGGGGCAAATGAGGTGTTTACCTGGAGTTTACCTGGAGAGAGTTCTGGGGGTCAACGCCCCCGCGGCCCGGACTGTGACCAGGCCTCCTGGTGGATCAGAGCCTGATCAACCAGGCTGTTACTGCTGGCTGCACGCAAACCAACGTACGAGCCACAGCCCGGCTGGTCAGGAACCGACTTTAGGTGCTTGTACAGTGCCAGCTTGAAGACTGCCAGGGGTCTGTTGCTAATCCCCCTTATGTATGCTGGGAGGCAGTTGAACAGTCTCGGGCCCCTGACACTTATTGTATGGTCTCTTAACGTGCTAGTGACACCCCTGCTTTTCATTGGGGGGATGTTGCATCATCTGCCAAGTCTTTTGCTTTCGTAGTGAGTGATTTTCGTGTGCAAGTTCGGTACTAGTCCCTTTAGGATTTTCCAGGTGTATATAATCATGTATCTCTCCCGCCTGCATTCCAGGGAATACAGGTTTAGGAACCTCAAGCGCTCCCAGTAATTGAGGTGTTTTATCTCCGTTATGCGCTCCGTGAAGGTTCTCTGTACATTTTCTAGGTCAGCAATTTCACCTGCCTTGAAAGGTGCTGTTAGTGTGCAGCAATATTCCAGCCTAGATAGAACAAGTGACCTGAAGAGTGTCAACATGGGCTTGGCATCCCTAGTTTTGAAGGTTCTCATTATCCATCCTGTCATTTTTCTAGCAGATGCGATTGATACAATGTTATGGTCCTTGAAGGTGAGATCCTCCGACATGATCACTCCCAGGTCTTTGACGTTGGTGTTTCGCTCTATTTTGTGGCCAGAATTTGTTTTGTACTCTGATGAAGATTTAATTTCCTTGTGTTTACCATATCTGAGTATTTGAAATTTCTCATCGTTGAACTTCATATTGTTTTCTGCAGCCCACTGAAAGATTTGGTTGATGTCCGCCTGGAGCCTTGCAGTGTCTGCAATGGAAGACACTGTCATGCAGATTCGGGTGTCATCTGCAAAGGAAGACACGGTGCTGTGGCTGACATCCTTGTCTATGTCAGATATAAGGATGAGGAACAAGATGGGAGCGAGTACTGTGCCTTGTGAAACAGAGCTTTTCACCGTAGCTGCCTCGACTTGACTCTGTTGACTACTACTCTCTGTGTTCTGTTATTGAGGAAATTATAGATCCATCGACCAACTTTTCCTGTTATTCCTTTAGCACGCATTTTGTGCGCTATTACGCCATGGTCACACTTGTCGAAGGCTTTTGCAAAGTCTGTATATATCACATCTGCATTCTTTTTGTCTTCTAGTGCATCTAGGACCTTGTTGTAGTGATCCAACAGTTGAGACAGACAGGCGTGACCTGTTCTAAACCCATGTTGCCCTGGGTTGTGTAACTGATGGGTTTCTAGATGGGTGGTGATCTTGCTTCTTAGGACCATTTCAAAGATTTTTATGATATGGATGTTAGTGCTATCGGTCTGTAGTTCTTTGCTGTTGCTTTACTGCCCCCTTTGTGGAGTGGGGCTATGTCTGTTGTTTTTAGTAACTGTGTAACCAGTCATACAAAAAGTCCCTAGTGATCCATGCCTTACTGTTTGCCCTCCACAGCACACACAAATTAGCCTTGAGGACATTGTTTTGCCTGGACGCTCTGGGAGTTTCAGAGTGATACACCAATAAAGGCTTCACTTTGCAATCACCACTAGTATTAGCACACATCAAAAAGAGTAAGCCTATCTTTCATAGGCTTATGTCCTGGGAGTGCCTTTTCCTCCTGAGTAATGTAGGTCCTGCTTGTCATTTTCTTCCAAAACAGGCCTGTTTCCTCGCAATTAAACACTTGTTCAGGTTTCAATTCTTCACTGTCTATGTACTCCTTGAATTCCTTCGCATATTTTTCAGCCACTTTTTGGTCCGAATTGGCAGCTTCATCATGCCTTATCACAGTATGTATGCCACTACGATTCTTAAATCTCTCAAACCAACCTTTGCTGGCCTTAAATTTACTCACATCACCACTAGTTGCAGGCATTTTTCTAATTAAATCGTCATGCAACTTCCTAGCCTTTTCACGTATGATCGCTTGAGAGATGCTATCTCCTGCTATCTGTTTTTCGTTTATCCACACCAATAACAGTCTCTCAACATCTTCTATCACTTGCGATCTCTGTTTCAAAAACAAACTTGCACCTTTTGCAAGAACAGCTTCCTTGATTTCCGTTTTGTTGGCCAAGATAGAGCGATGGTTGATTGGGGTTTGGTATACAACCTGGCCAGCTCTGAGACACGCACTCCACTTTCGTACTTAGCAATTATCTCTTTCTTCATTTCCATAGTAATTTTCACTCTTTTTACCACAGGGTTGGCCCATGGTGACTTATTTTGCAGTTACAAGCACTAAAAACACTGTGATAATATGAAATGTATCGAATGTATGCTTAGATGCGACCACATTGGCTGGCTTGTAAACACTGGCACCCACGGGGCAGCTGAGGCCACACATGGGACGCGTCTTGACGAATCACGTAAGGCGAGTTTTTTATTGTGAGGCGAAGCAAAATTTTTGCGTTCAAATGCTTCGTATGGCAGATTTAATGTAATGCGATGCGTTCGTAAGACGGGGGTCCACTGTATTAATAATAATGATAATACAACTGAAGCAACCCAGCAGCAGCTGGTCACAGGTCACAACCTTTTCACTTTCAACACCTCTTCAAGGGGGGCTCCTTGGCGTGGTGAAGAGGCTCTTGGTCTGAGGAATTAGACCTGTCGG